CAGCTCTATTCCACTTAACCTTCTGTAATTTGCCGATGTCTTGTGTCTGTCTTGTTTCCTCATTTGTACCGTCCTGTCATACATACACCCTCTCATCTTTTATTATCCTTAGTAACATAACACCTTGTAAATAGATTATAAATAGCTTATATGTCTGAAGATGTCTTTAGTTAAAGACGAAACGTTGCAATAAAAAATCTTTAAAATCTTAACTGTTTTAATGGCTTTGGTAAACGTTATATGTTGGGCTCTCATATTTATTATAAGAATTCGTTTTCCGCCTGGTAAATCTCTGGCAACGATAAAGAGCTTGTTATCTAATGGATTATATTCATAAATCATTTACTCCCACTATCTTTTATGGTGTGTGAAATATTTACCTGTTTAATAGTTCTGCCCTGTATGGATCTCAGGATTTTCATATTGGTTTGTTGTCCTTTACGGGCAAAAATAGCGTGCACGACTTTTAAATCTTTGAACCAATGGTCAAAAGTCGAAAAATATAAAAGAGCAACGAGAATTTACTGCAAAAATTTCGAAAAGCAAAAATATTTTTGATAAAACTAGAGGGGTGTGAAAATTGTAGCGGGCTCAGAATTGAGCCTGATCAGTGGTAATTCCATGAGCCGGAGGAACCAGTTGTCGTGGAAATGGCGTCATATGGCGCAAAAATCCGCCATGCTTTGGGCGACACTTTCATGCCGAGCACGTCCTTCAGTAATATAGTGTAGCACAGTGGGTGCAACTGATGTAAAATTGGTTAAATTTATGCATATCTGTATTAAACTTAATGCACTTGTGTGTATTTATCTTTATTGAATTAATCACTCTTGCATAATGTGCATAAAATTAAAATGTGCGGATTATTTTGAAGTTGATCGATAGCTTTCTGTCAGTATACCAATGGATTATTTTGATGCTATATTACATATTTGAAGGTCTATTAATTTAGATTTTGACCTCAGTTATTGTTGGTCATTTATTTCCTCTACTAGTTGGTATATCACAAGTAATACGAAATAAAAACTGAAAATATCAAATTTTCAATACTGAATTATTTCACATTCAATTAAAATTTGTATTTTCCCAGTCAATATCGAAGATCGCGGGTTCGAAACCCAGCCGCGGCAGGAATCTTTCTGCGCGCGGTCGGGCTGGAAATTATGACATACGGTGTTGTAAAAACGTGATATTCTTTAACACACACATGAAATCCATATATCTGGTGACTCCGTAGAATAGATGAAAAGACCTTCGCTATAGTTTCCGGATGGTATTGCTTAATAAATCACCGAGCTGGAATGGTGGCTGAGTGTCAAAATCAGTTTCAAAATTTCTTCTGAAAATAAAACTCGAGAAAAAGCCTTCAGAATCTTGCTTTATAAATTCTTGCAACCTATACCCTGAAGCACATTCATAAGGGATGTTGTTCATCTTAATCAGATAATCAAAATATTTCTCAAGATTCTTCGTGAATATAGGTCAGTCGCTGTTTTGGCACCTACAGCTGGAACCCACATTTCACACACATCATTTGTTAAGGTTGAGTAATCATCAATCGAAGTTTCAATCATATTTCAAATTATAAAACAACATCAGCACCCTTCATTCGGCTTGAAACTCTTGCACTAAGAAGGCCTCTTTTAGTTTCCAGTATTAACCGAAACTTGCAAGTATTCAGTGAATATGAAAGTATGCAATATTGAAAATTTGAAATTTCGACTTTATCCATTACCTGTCAACAACGCACGGAAAAACCGAACAATGTCGTGAGCACAACTAAAGGAGGGAAACAAGGATTGTGTATAACCCGTCATATCTATATAATACGAATTTGTTTCCATGCTTTGTTGTGATAAGGTGACGACTCTGCACCGTCAAAGCTGACCATTGTAACATCAGAAAGACTATAGATAATGTCCGTTCACCCCAATAATTTCCGGAGTTGTTTAATATTACAACACAATGTTTTAGCGTGCATATAATAATTTCTTGTTCCTGGTCCGTAATATTGTCGTAAGTTTTTGCGAAATCTAAAGCAGCTTCGAAAAGCTCAATCAAGGAAATAGATGAATAAAAGTCAATTACATCTAATGCGATAAATGAATGCTGATTTTTGTCGGCAATATTATTACCACGTCAGGACAGATTTCGTATTTTCCCATTGATTCATGCCGATAATTGGCTTGATTCAAAGTCACGACAACTAGTTTCACGTTGATTCTGTCTTGAATTTGTTCACTCAAACATAGGTTGAATTTGTTTATTCACACATACGTTGGTCTTCCTGAAAACTCTTCTAAAACTAGATTTTACCACCAGACTAGAGGGTAGTTATTTTTGTAGAAAGTAGAGTATAGGCCTACAAATACTTGTGTTTTTCTTGTGTGGACTGATCAGTGTTACAATGCGTGTCAATTCTATTGAATAATGTCTTTATCAATGAGTTGTCTTGCGTGATTGCTTTTGTAATTTATTAATTAAAATAATAGTTGATCTGAATGTGTTTTCTTGCGATGAACTTGTGTGTTTAAAGTGCCGTTGTTTGTTTTTGTTATTAAGACGCCCAAAATGCGAGTTTGTTGTCTATAGACAACAAACATGAAACTGAAAGTAGCGATAGATGAAACTTAACAAGGTTTATTTTAAGAAAAATTGAGAACTGCACCTATGGGGATGTTACGAAGGGAACGGGTATTTGACTGGGGGAGGGGGGG